GTTTGGTTTTCTGTCCTTGTGATATTTTGCTGAGAATGATAGTTTCCATCTTCATCCATGTCCCTGCAAAGGACATGAACTCATCCTTTTTATGGCTGCATAGTATTCCATGGTATACATGTGCCACATTTTCTTTATCCAATCTATTATTGATGGACATTTGGGTTGGTTCCAAGTCTTTGCTATTGTGAATAGTGCCATAATAAATATACATGTGCATGTGTCTTTATATGGGCATGATTTATAATCCTTTGGGTATATACCCAATAATGGGCTTGCTGGGTCAAATGGTATTTCTAGTTCTAGATCCTTGAGGAATCACAACAGTCTTCCACAATGGTTGAACTAATTTCACTCCCACCAACAGTGTAAAAGCATTCCTATTTCTCCACATCCTCTCCAGCATCTGTTGTTTCCTGACTTTTCAATGATCACCATTTTAACTGGTGTGAGATGGTATCTCATTGTGGTTTTGATTTGCATTTCTCTGATGACCAGTGATGATGAGCATTTTTTCATATGTCTGTTGGCTGCATAAATGTCCTCTTTTGAGAAGTGTCTGTTTATATTCTTTGCCCACTTTTTGGTGGGGTTTTGTTTTTTCTTGTACATTTATTTAAGTTCTTTGCAGATTCTGGATATTAGCCCTTTGTCAGATGGGTAGATTGCAAAAATTTTCTCCCATTCTGTAGGTTGACTGTTCACTCTGTTGATAGATTCTTTTGCTGTGGAGAAGCTCTTCAGTTTAATTAGATCCCATTTGCCTATTTTGACTTTTGTTGCCATTGTTTTTTGCATTTTAATCATGAATTCTTTGCCCATGACTATGTCCTGAATGGTATTGCCTAGGTTTTCTTCTAGGGTTTTTATGGTTTTAGGTCTTACATTTAAATCTTTAATCCATCTTGAGTTAAGTTTTGTATATGGTGTAAGGAATCAGTGTTCTACATATGGCTAGCCAGTTTTCCCAGCACCATTTATTTTATAGGGAATCTTTTCCCCATTGCTTATTTTTGGCAGGTTTGTCAAATATCAAATGGTTGTAGATGTATGGTGTTATTTCTGAGGCCTCTGATCTGTTCCATTGGTCTATATCTCTGTTTTGGTACCAGTACCATGCTGTTTTGGTTACTGTAACCTTGTAATATAGTTTGAAGTCCAGCTTTGTTCTTTTTGCTTAGGATTGTCTTGGCTATGTGGGCTCTTTTTTGGTTCCATATGAAATTTAAAGGAGTTTTTTCCAATTCTGTCAAGAAAGTCAGTGGTAGCTTGATGGGGGTAGCATTGAATCTATAAATTACCTTGGGCAGTATGACCATTTTCATGATATTGATTGTTCCTACCCATAAGCATGGAATGTTCTTCCATTTGTTTGTATCCTCTTTTATTTCATTGAGCAGTGGTTTGTAGTTCTCCTTGAAGAGGTCCTTCACATATCTTGTAAGTTGGACTCTTAGGTATTTATTCTCTTTTCAGTAATTGTGAATGGGAGTTCACTCATGATTTGGCTCTCTGTTTGTTATTGTTGCATAGGAATGCTTGTGATTTTGGCACATTGATTTATTGTTGTATAGGAATGCTTGTGATTTTGGCACATTGATTTTGTGATTTTGGCACATTGATCCTGAGACTTCACAGAAGTTGCTTATCAGCTTAAGGATACTTTGGGCTGAGACGATGGGATTTTCAAAATATACAATCATGTAATCTGCAAACAGAGACAATTTGACTTCCTCTTTTATTGAATGTCCTGTATTTCTTTCTCTTGCCTGATTGCCCTGGCCAGAACTTGCAACACTATGTTATATAGGAGTGGTGAGAGAAGGCATCGTTGTCCTGTGCTCATTTTCAAAGGGAATGCTTCCAGATTTTCCCATTCAGTATGATATTGACTATGGGTTTGGTCATAAATACCTCTTACTATTTGGAGATACATTCCATCAGTACCTAGTTCATTGAGAATTTTTAGCATGAAAGGCTCCTGAATTTTGTCAAAGGTCTTTATTGCATCTATTGAGATAATCATGGGGTTTTTGTTGTTGGTTCTGTTTATGTGTTAGGTTACGTTTATTGATTTGCATATGTTGATCCAGCCTTGCATCCCAGGGAGGAAGCTGGCTTGATCTTGGTGGATAAGCTTTTTGATACACTGCTGGATTTGGTTTGCTAGTATTTTATTGAGGATTTTCACATCAATGTTCATCAGGGATATTGTCCTAAAATTCTCTTTTTCTGTTGTGTCTCTGTCAGGCTTTGGTATCAGGATGATCCTGACCTCACATAATGAATTAGGGACGATTACCTCTTTTTCTATTGATTGGAATAGTTGCAGAAGGAATGGTACCAGCTCCTCTTTGTACCTCTGGTAGAATTTGGCTGTGAATCCTTCTGGTCATGGACTTCTTTTGGTTGGTAGGCTGTCAATCATTGCCTCAATTTCAGAACCTGTTATTGATCTATTCGGAGATTCACCTTCTTCCTGGTTTAGTCTTAGGGGGTGTATGCGTCCAGGAATTTATCCATTTCTTCTAGATTTTCTAGTTTATTTGCATACAGGTGTTTATAGTATTCTCTGATGGCAGTTTGTATTTCTGTGGGATTGGTGGTGATATCCCATTTATCATTTTGTATTGCATCTATTTGATTCTTCTCTATTTTCTTCTTTATTAGTCTTGCTAGCGGTCTATATATTTGGTTGATCTTTTCAAAAAACCAGCTCCTGGATTCACTGATTTTTTGAAGGGCTTTTTATGTCTCAATCTCCTTCAGTTCTGCTCTGATCTTAGTTATTTCTTCCTCCATCCCTTTATTTTGAGCCTATGTGCATCTTTGCATGTGAGATGGGTCTCCTGAATACAGTACACCAATGGGTTCTGACTCTTTATGCAATTTGGCAGTCTGTGTCTTTTAACTGGGGCTTTTAGCCCATTTACATTTAAGGTTAATATTGTTATGTGTGAATTTTGATCCTGTCATTATGATGCTAGCTGGTTATTTCGCCTAGCAGTTTAATTGATGCAGTTTCTTCAGAGCGTCGATGATCTTTACAATTTGGCATGTTTTTGCAGTGGCTGGTACCGGTTGTTCTTTTCCATGTTTAGTGCTTCCTTCAGGAGTTCTTGTAAGGCAGACCTGGTGGTGACAAAATCTCTCAGCATTTGCTTGTCTGTAAAGGATTTTACTTCTCCTTCACTTACGAAGCTAAGTTTGGCTGGATATTAAATTCTGGGTTGAAAATTCTTTTCTTTAAGAATGTTGAATATTGGTCCCCACTCTCTTCTGGCTTATAGGGTTTCTGCCAAGAGATCCGCTGTTAGTCTGATGGGCTTCCCTTTGTGCATAACCCAACCTTTCTCTCTGGCTGCCCTTAATATTTTTTCCTTCATTTCAACGTTGATGAATCTGACAATTATGTGTCTTTGTGTTGCTCTTCTCGAGGAGTATCTTTGTGGTGTTCTCTGTATTTTCTGAATTTGAATGTTGGCCTGCCTTGCTAGGTTGGGGAACTTCTCCTGGATAATATCCTGAAGCATGTTTTCTAACTTGGTTCTATTCTCCCCATCACTTTCATGTACACCAATCAAACGTAGATTAGGTCTTTTCACATAGTCCCATATTTCTTGCACACTTTGTTTCTTTTCACTCTTTTTTCTCTAATCTTGTCTTCTCACTTTATTAATTTGATCTTCAAGCACTGATATCCTTTCTTCCACGTGATTGAGTCGACTATCAAAGCTTGTGTATGCTTCATGAGGTTCTCATACTGTGGTTTTCAACTCCATCAGGTCAGTTAAGCTCTTCTCTACACTGTTTATTCTAGTTAGCCATTCATCTAACCTTTTATCAAGGTTTTTAGCTTCCTTGTGATGGGTTAGAACATGCTTCTTTAGCTCAGAGAAGTTTGTTATTACCAATCTTCTGAAGCTTGCTTCTGTCAACTTGTTAAACTCATTCTCCATCCAGTTTTGTTCCTTGCTGGCGAGGAGTTGTGTTCCTTTGGAGGAGAAGAGGCTATCTGGTTTTTGGAACTTTCAATCTTTCTGCTCTGGTTTCTCCCCATCTTTGTGGTTTTTATCTACCTTTGGTCTTTGATGTTGGTAACCTATTGATGGGGTTTTGGTGTGGATATCCTTTTTGTTGATGTTGATACTATTCCTTTCTGTTTGCTACTTTTCTTTCTGACAGACAGGCCCCTCAGCTGCAGGTCTGTTGGAATTTGCTGGAGGTCCACTTCAGACTCTGTTTGCCTGGGTATCACCAGTGAAGCCTGCAGAACAGCAAATATTGCTGCCTGATCCTACCTCTGGAAGCTTCATCCCAGAGGGACACCTGCCTGCATGAGGTGTCTGTCAGCCCCTACTGGGCAGTGTCTCCCAGTCTGGCTACACAGAGGTCAGGGACCCACTTGAGGAGGCAGTCTGTCCATTATTGGAGCTTGAATGCCGTGCTGGGAGAGCCACTTCTCTCTTCAGAGATGTCAGGCAGGGATGTTTATGTCTGTAGAAGCTGTCTGCTGTCTTTTGTTCAGCTATGCCCTGACCCCAGAGGTGGAATCTAGAGAGGCAGTAGGCCTTGCTGAACTGCAGTGGGCTCCGCCCAGTTCAAGCTTCCCTGCTGCTTTATTTACACTCTGAGCATATAATCGTGTACTCAAGCCTCAGCAATGGTGGATGCCCCACCCCCCACCAAGCCCCAGAGTCCTAGATTGATCTCAGACCGCTGTACTAGCAGCAAGCAAGGCTCCGTGAGTGTGAGACTCACCAAGCCAGGCACAGGAATCTCTTGGTCTGCCAGTTGCTAAAACCATGGGAAAAGCACAGTATTTGGGCAGGAGTGTACCATTCCTCCAGTACAGTCACTCACAGCTTCCCCTGGCTATGAAAGGGAAATCCCCCAACCCCTTGCATTTCCCGGGTAAGGTGATGCCCCACCCTGCTTCAGCTCACCCTCCGTGGGCTGCACCCACTGTCCAACCAGTCCCAGTGAGATGAACCAGTTACCTCAGTTGGAAATGCAGAAATCACCCATCTTCTGCGTCAATCTCACTGGCAGCTGTACACCGGAGCTGTTCCGATTCCGCCATCTTGGAAGCTGGGGCGATATTAATATTCTTTACAGTATTTAAACTTCACTGTATTTAAACTTTGCATTTGTATGTTTACTGTATTTAAACTTTAGTGATAATATATGTAAAGTCTTAGAACCTGTATGACTTACAATGGATGGAAGAAAATAGGGTATCATTAAGATTCTTGGAGCACTAAGTAATATTGTTCATTGCTGTGGAGGCCAGAAGGTAACAGAAGAATATGAATTGCTTAAGACTACAGTCATATCTTATTTTACATCATATCCTCACTGCTAGGTAGAGGACCTGGAACATATGACACTCAAAAAAATAGGTAAATGAATGAGTGAATGAGTAAATAAATGAATCAGTCAATTCATCATCAATGAGAAATGAATAAATCTGGTGTCAGATCTCCTTTACTCTGTAACTTAGCACTGCCAACTTTTAAAAAGTAATTCCAGGATTGCACAAAAAATGTAAAATTTCAGGATAACATATGTATAAAAAATAGAGCATTATGATCTGAATTTTAATAACTGAGCAAATCTTCTATCCAATGCATAGAAAGACTGGACAAACAAAAGATCAGTTCTACTAAATATTGTTGATACAGGAGAGAGTGTGACAATACAAGCCAAATAGGTACAGGAAAATGTATAAGTTTGTGAGCATGGTTCGCTAGCTGAAGGGAGAGCAGGCTTTAAAAAAATGCTCGGTTATCTCATCAATAAAGCAGTGATAATTCTGGTTGTTTTCATTATTAACAAATATATTAAAAGTTCCCTTGATCTTTTTTTTTTTTAACAACTTCTAATTCCTTTTCCAACTAAAAGAGTTCTTGGTTTTCTTTTCCAAAGTCAGGAAGGTAAATGTGCTTATCAAATTTTCTTTCAAAATAATTTTTAAAAGCTGAACTTCTAAATGTTTAATTGACTTCCATTTAATATTTCTATCAATTGCAGAAAGACAGCTTTTCACATCACTATCATAGCAGATTCTTAGTATTTGTCAGAATATTTTAGAGGAAAAACTCACATCTGTTTCACTTTCTTTATTCAGCACATAGCACAGGGTAAATGTTCTGCACAAATGGATAAATATTCTATACTTTTGATGAAAAATAAAATACCTAAAATATTTAAAATTATTTTTCCAAAGAATTAAATGTAGAAAATTTTTGTTGAAGATATTTAGTTCTACTATGAAAAATGTTTCTTGGATCTCAAATTCAACTGAAATGTCATTACTAATTTGAAATGCTTACGAACCATATGATATGAAAATGAGTATTAACTAGAATTCACACTAAGAAGCAAAAGGATTATTATAGGCATGTTGTCCATATTGAAAGTAAACTACCATTATTCTTGATCTAAATATGAGAAATTTTATTTGTGATATTCCACACAATAAATATTGGGGGATTCATTTCCAAGATAGAGAATTAGCTGTAAAAGAGAGTATTTTCATTAAAAAGTATATGATTGATTAAGGTGAACTGTTGTTAGTTGTGGAAGGTGTTACCACATTAGTCCAATTTTATCTAAGCCACTTGATTTTATTCACTTTCTCTTAAAAATACCAGTATAAAAATACAGGTTGAAGTCCTAGATATCTAAACTTGATGATTTCTAGCCACTATCAGTAGAAAAAAAATATATTTCCACGTTTCAAATTCTCCTCATCTCACTCCATCAGTGAATGAGTATATATCTATCTATCCACACACACACACACACACACTCACGTATATACGGGCAAGTAGGAAATGTTACACATATAGTTTATCCCTGTGTCCCCACCCAAATCTCATCTTGAATTGTACTCCCATAATTCTCATATGTTGTGGGAGGGAGCCGGTGGGAGATAATTGAATCAAGGGGGTGGATTCCCCCATACTGTTCTCGTGGTAGTGAGTAAGTCTCATGAGATCTGATGGTCTGATAAAGGGAAACCCGTTTCACTCGACTCTCATTCTCTCTCTTGCTGCCACCATGTGAGACGTGCCTTTCACCTTCCGCCATGATTGTAAGGCCTCCCCAGCCACGTGGAACTGTTAAGTCCAATAAACCTCTTTCTTTTGTAAATTGCCCAGTCTCAGATATGTCTTTATTAGCAGCATGAAAACGAACTAATACAACATGCATGGCCACAATACACATGCTTCAAGCACGTTTAGGACACCATGGGTCTTTCTCATTCAAATTATACTAAATCAGTCTAATATGGACATAACTAGTAAATGATATCAGAATAATTAGCATTCTTTACTACTTATTTTTCCCCTTGAATAGATGGATATTTATACTCCAAAACAGAGTAAGTCTAGAGTTTTCAGTTCTGCTTAATATTCTGATTTTACCTCCTAAATACAGGCTTTCTGCCCTGCTCCCTCAGCACCTCCACATCATGGTGGACAAAGAAGATGCCATGTGGTGTCAGGAAACAAAAAGCTTTGGATTGAGGTACAAAGCAATTGGATTAGCATCTGTTCATTCACCTGATGTTCTTGTACCTTTAGGACCAGTAGGCTTCAGCTTCCTCATCTATAAAATAAAGTAGGATGAGATGATTGAGTAAACCATGTGCTATCCATGTTTTGTTACATACCATTACTAATGTGTTCATCATTTTCTTTTCTGTAACTTGGACTCATTTTGAAGAGTAATTTCTCCAAAAATTGAAATTTTCATAAGGAGTTAAATAATGATCTATTTATTATATTTTGCATTTACCACTAATTATAAGAGTTCTAAGTATTTGACTTAGAAACAGAGAAATTAAATTATATCTGCGCTTAAGTGCTGTCTGTCCAAGAATACTGCATGGAAGTATGTGTTTCATTTTACAAATAGTTAAAATAGTTTCACATTATTTTAACTTAATAATACTCTAAATATTGCTAATTTTTCTCAGGGGATTTTTTTAAATTATTAAATATTTTATTCCATTAAGACAATTTTAAATGATAATTATCAAATGGCTACAAGCCTATGTTCATATTAATGCATTTTGACATGTTTGTTTTATCCTTAGTACTTTAATATTTTTGAGTTAAAATCATATTCTTTGACTTCCGAGATCAGAACCTGAATATATTTGATTTTTAAAAAATGTTTGATATATACTTCCAGACTATGGAAATGTGCAAGACAAGCCTTCATTGTCCCTGCTTAGAAATAAAATCTTAGCTTCTCCAAAATAAGATAGTGATAGAGATTTGTACAATTCAGAATTCAAGCATCTTGGCAGATATGAACACTTCTCTATAATTCATTAGCCACACCATGATTTCATCAATTGCAAAGAACTTTTTATGAATTTTGGAAGAATTATTATGAAAAAGAGATATATAAAGCTTTCTCCAAAGACATAAAACGTTGCAATTTGAAGAAAATTATTATTTTCTTCACCCCACTGCCCAAAAATATTTTCACCATACGTAGGGCTGCAACTTTCACCACTTGTCATTGCATCAAAATCCACATCATGAGAAGTGAAATACTAGTGCTAACACTTTAGCTGTTGCCTAGCAGAAAGCAAACTCTGGTAAAATAGAATGCTGGAATATAGGGAGCAGAGGAAAATATCTAGGCTCAGTGAACAAAGATAGTAGGAAAGCTAGAGATTATCAGGTGCTGAATAGGATTTGGGGAACAAATGGAAATGGGTTGCTTATAAAAATCTCCCCATGATGCTTATGGAAAACCAAAACAGGGCTTAGTTTAAAAAAATCAGGTGTTTTAAATTGATAATTATACACTGTAGTGAAATAAGATTTCTATAAAAATAAAAGAGCAAGTATTAAATTCCTCATTAAATAGTATTTACAGAAGCATTCCTTATAACAATCTACCCAGCTCCCACTGAGTATAGACATTGTACACACAAACATTAATTAGGTGGTATTTCTTTTCTCAACGGCATGTAAGCTGATAATTAAAACACAAAATAATCGTAGTCAAGGTAGACCTGTGTGAAGACTGCTGTGGAATCCCGGCAGAAGCATCTACCTCTACCCAGTGCAATTTGAAAAGAGAAGAGGTGATGTTTGAGATGAATCTTGAAGAATAATTAAGAGATCACTCAGAGGAAAGGGGAAAGCAGTGTGAATTGGAACAAGAGCTGGAGAAGGGAGAATCTTGTAGCAATTAGAAATATTTAGAAGAGGGTAGAGGCTTTGAAATCAGATAGATCTAAGTTCAAAGTCTGACTTTAACAGTTAGCAGCTATGAGAATTTAAGAAAACTGCTTAATCTCACTGAACCTTGTTTTTACTTCATCAGTAAAATAATATATATTAAAAAAGCATTAATCACACTTACCTCATAGGCTTCTTTATATAAAAAGTGCATATAAAGTCCTGAATCTGTGTTCAACATAATTTAACTGTATTACGAGTTATCACAAAAGCCCAAATGAGAGACAATGATAGTCTGAGCTAGGAAAATGAGGAAAAGAGAAACAATTTGAAAGAGAAATTATGAGCGCAGCAAGGAGGGAGAGATCAAGGTTGATCCAAAGTTTCTAGTTTAAGCAGCAGGGTAAGAACAGGTGCCATTAACTGAGTGAAAGAGATCAGAGGGATGGGCAGGATTCAGAGGGCATGTTGCGTGTGAGGTGCCGCCATGTCATAAGTGGGACTCCAGAGAGAGGTAGAGGCCAGAAATGCAGAACTGGGAGCTGTTGGCATGACTAAGACACCGGCCAGATGAGATCTGACAGAGAATCTGTGCAGAACAGAAAGTGGAAATCCAAAAGACTCAATCAAAGCTTAGGAAAGAATATAATAGATTAATGACTCCTCAATTCTCACTGTAAACTCCTCATGATATTTACAGTTATCATAATGATCATTTATGACATTTTACCATGTAAAAGGTATTGAGCTAAGTGTTGATATAGCATTCATTCATTGAACAAATAGTTATTGAGCATCTACTGTATGACGATATGGTTATCAGAGATGGGGATTCAGCAACAAGCCAAGCAAAACACGTTTGCCCTCTTGGAGCTTAAA